AAATAGTCGTTTTTTGGTGTTTTTTAAAAATCAATCATTTGGAATAAAAAAAATAATCTTTAACCAGATTTTGGGGTTATTCAATGACATTATTATATAACCAAATTGTTTACTAAATTTTTTAAATGAAAAAACTATTCTGGTTACCTCTCTTGTAAGGTGTGAAATGTATAAAAGAATCGGCTCAGATTATTTCTTTACAACCATTTATTTAGAGTTGAAACAAATTGACTTTTCCCCTTATTATTATTTCACGCAACGCATTATGGTATTTGTATGTACAGAAAAGTCAAATGTTTGAAATTCATATTTTTTTTTTTAATTTTTGGTTATTTCGTGGCTTGCTCGTACATAGATAACAGTTTTTTCTCTTATAATTGATTATGTTTACGCCAAAATCTTTTACAAATTTTATTGTCTCCGCGGGAGAATAACTGTATTGTAATATAAACAAATATTGCAACGTGGTTGAAATATTTGCTAAATTTCGTCGTTGAATTTCGTTAGAGAAGCTTGTTTAAAGTATAATTTATAAGGATACATAAGTAAAAGAATATATAATTAACTCTATAAACATTTCTGCTGGTTCTACCTTTTTTAAAGTCCTAGCATTATCTCAATAAATGCCACATTTAGTATAATTACAAACGAGGAATTTAATATTGATGGAAACAAAATAATTTTTAAATATGTTACTTAATGGTCAAAAGACAACATCTCTAAAATTACCAGGATGTGTTTCGTTGATCAGCGTCATTTCTAACCAATATGCTGAGAGATACCTAGAATAGTTAACTCGATCATAGCTGAAACACCAAGGTAAAATAGATCTAATAGTTGATAAATGAAGGTTCCAATCACTGCAGCGTGTGGCATTAATGAACAATAATAACAGTTCTACCATTTCGATGAAAGATGACCAGAATGAAAACGTTGGTGACTGTTGATTTGATTCAAAAATAAAATCATCATATCTATATCAAAACAATAATAAAATAAGTGTGAAAATTAGTGCTAAACCAAACGGGAAAAAGTGGCAGTTAAAAGAAAACACTGTTTTTAAAGCAATTCAGAAAATAAAAAGTAAAATACTTCGCAAATATTGATAAGTATTCGTCATTAACTAGATGATCTGTAAATTGGTCGGGAAATTTTATGCTCAACATAGCAACATTAGTATTGAAGCAATCTTGTTCATTTAAATTCAATGTGTCAACAAATGAACGTAGTCGTAATCGTTGTAAAGCTTCGTATAAGATTTTATAAGCATATACAGCACGGTTATAGTGTTTTCCTCGCAATACTCCATTCAAAGAGCCAGTTGCTACAACACCGGACTCAATAAAAATATCCTGTAAGAAAAAATATATAAAACTGAAAACAATTTTTAAATAAATTTAAAAATAGTTAATGTCAAAACAGAAAGCTCTATAGGAGAAATAGAAATATGAATAATATTTCAAATTGGTCGTGTATAGAAGTAATCAAAAGTTACCTGCAAACCGGAGTCTGTAAATCGTTTACCTATAGCACTAATGTATGACATTACTGCATGAAAATCACCAATACGGATGATTATACGTTCTATTAACATTGCATTTTTCCATCTGACTTGTTGAACTTTAGCATATAATGCTTCATCAAATACTACTATCATATGACGAATCCTAACTTATCTGCTATCGCAATACTTTTCTGAAGAATTTCATTTACTGTGGAAATTTCGGTAACTGGTGCATTAATTACAGGTAAGTAACTTATAATAGATTTATTTAATGGCTTTGCATGAAGAAGTGTTTTGAAGCCTGTCCAGCCAGGAAGCAAAGTATTAGAATCGTTAACTTTACACAGAATATAACCAAAGTTTATTAGTCTTGAAAATGATTGATCTATCAAATGTTCATCTTCTCTAATTGAAAATGGATTTTTTCTATAAGAGCTACTTAATTCTGGTGACTTTTTCTCTCCTAAAATAAACTGTGGTATCTCTATGTAAGGTTTAGGCAATGACCTTTCACTTTTTTTAATATTTTTAACAGATTCTTTTGATTTAACTTTGGAGTTTTCCATTTTCATTTGTATAATAATCCCATTAGCCATGTGCGACGTTCCACTACCTGAGCGAGTTTCCTCTCCAAAGTCAATGTTATCCCATACAAGTGTGGTAAACTGACAATGGTTAACATTTGAACCAATAACAACATCATCATTTATATTTAGTTTAGCCAATCCTGTTTCATGTGATCTAACAACTGAATTCGATACACAGTGCCCAAAACCATTTAGAATACTTATAAGTTTTTTTGACCCCGTAATTTGTCTTGTAGCCATACTGAGTGCTAAATGTTTTGGAGGTAAGTTTTTTCTTTTTGAATGTAAAAAAATAAAGTCCTGCGCAACGCTTAATACTTCTACTCTATCTTTTACATCGAGTTCTACTTTACACTCGAATGTTGGCTCATCAGAAAACCCAAATGTCCACGCTAAAAAGTTAAATAGTGAAGTTGGTACAAACTCATCTGCGCATTTAAAATTCAATTCCGTTGCCTTCGGAGGCCATTTGCAATTTATAGCTGGAACTTGTTTAAGAATATTTTTTAATTCTACTGCTGCAGTATATAATATCTGCAATGAGTTTATAACCGTTTTTTTACTTGAACACGATACTTGATCTCTATGAATTACTTCATCATCAGTGCAATCTGACTCAAAGCTACTGCTATTTTGTTCTCTAGCTGCACTAATTGCTGATTCGATAATTGAACCAATGTTAAAATTTGAATGATAAACTATCTCACTCATTGCTTTTTTTATTGGTTTGTAAAATACTAATTCTGGAAATTTCCCCCGTATTTTTTTTTTCAACCTCCATTTGTTATATTTGGATGCATCAAGACTTTCTACTGATTTCACAATTTTTACAAATGAAGAAAAGATGTCAGACATAGAAAGACTTTCGCCATCTTCATACAGCTGCTTCTCTATTTGTTTAGATAGCACTAGAAAAGACTGCTCATAAAGACTTTTAGGTTTCTCACTTTTTTTACGTGTAACAAAAGCAGTATATTTGGCATAACAATGCTTATGGTATTTTAATTCTATACAAGAACAGTCTTTGTCTCTAATATGCAGTAATATATCTTCGTCTTTTTTTTTTTCAGCTGCTTCTCGAAGACGCCCGGCATCAGAGGTAAGACATTGAACCAATTTTGATTTACCCTGTATTTTTGACACCTAAAAATGCACGCAAAAAAATTACAACTACATGTGTAGCCTGTCAAATGACAAACGCTAAATAAATATAGCGTTTGTAATTTTGACAAGGCATAAATACACTATAGAGAGTAAAAATTAAACCCATGATTCCTTAATGAAAGTTACTATTATATAATCTACCTGGTTTGTCAATAAATCTAATCAAAACTAAATTAGATACGCATTTAACTTTTGTAGCCCTACTTCTAAAGTTTATATATCAAAATAATCTATAAAGTATTAATAACACTGCTACACTAAATACATACTAATTTTTCTTTTTTCTTGCAAATAATACATATATCTGTGCAAATGGCTGCTCTCTTTCTACACTGTTTTAAAACTTGTGATGATCGCGTTATCTTTGGGGAGGATGCAAAAGCATTTAAAGGTGTTCTTTCTTTTTGTAGCAACTTATCTTGTTCTTTTTCTGTTTGTTTTTGAGCTCTTTCAATTTTTGTTTTATCAGTAAACAGTTTATAGCAAGCACTGTGGCAAAACAACATTTTGTTTTCATTAGCCTCATCGTCGAAAGTAATGCGACAATATAAAGCAACCTGTTTATAAAATATGATCATTATAAAAATTTATGTGATTTTAAGATAAGACGATAAGGCTATATATTAGGTAGAGCAAAGTTAACTCAAACGAGAAACTCATCCGATAATTTTTTTTTATTTTATACTTTTTTTATAACGAAGTATCAAATTCCTCTCCAATTTGTTTTATATAAAGTCGTCTAATTATACTTAATGCTTATTTTTTTGAAAACGTAATATCAGGTCATATTTCCGTTATCGCCAAAGAACTAACTTTTGATATCTTCTTTTTGGTTAAAACATATACAAAACATACAAGTTGACCTTTTTGCGCAATTTTTAAAAAAATCCCGTTTATTTATCATGTATATGATTTCAACAAAGATAACTTTTTAAATCATAAATTTACATCAAGTTTTTAAATTAGAAATTTACATAGAGTTTGCTCTTCAGTAAAGTCTATCAAGTAAAACATTTCAGGACCATCAAAAGCTTGCAAAAAATTGTTTGTGACGGCAGATCCATAAGAAAATAACTCTCCTCAATGCAAACTTTGAAAAGAGACATTCGAAGTGACGTCACTATTTCCGAAGGTACTTATATATATATATATATATATATATATATATATATATATATATATATATATATATATATATATATATATATATATATATATATATATATATATATATACATATATATATATATATATATATATATATATACACATACATATTTATGTACATAATGCTCTTAGTTAATGAGTTGCCTTAACACAAAGAATGGAATAGGTGGTTTCATAAAATAAAACAATTGCTGTGAAAGTTTAATCTTTAATCAGGGACAATGTTGTTAAATTGGCAATATTAATATGTCATGGTCCACAAATCTCAAGCAAAGTTATCGTTTAAATTGTAAGCAATTTTATAACAAACAAAACTGTCAAAAAACATTTCAAAAATTTTGCAGAATTTAAAGATAGTTTCATATTTTTGGAATATAGCTTTTAAGTAACATAAAATGTTGTTTTCTTTTTTAATATGAAAACTCAGTTTCATTTATGAAAAACAAGTTTGTAACAATCCTTAAGATATGATTATTTTAAAACATATAAAGGCTTCATTCACAAATCTTGTAATTACAAGAAAACGTGATATTGCTGCCAAAAGCAAGTGCAACATACAAAAATGCCAAAAGCAAACGAAACATAAAATTGTAAACTGAATTTCAAAAAATACATATTTATTTACAAATGATTAAATGCAAATTGTAAACAAAAAATGAGCATTTCTTCTGTATAACTTTATTGTTAAGTACATTTTTAAATACGCATGTCCATGTTATGAAAAACTATCGTAACCTAAAAAAACATAATATAATTTGAAAACTATATTAAAAAGCATTTTTTTGTATTAAGAATTGAAAAATATATTTCAATTTAAGCAAGATTTAAAAATTTACTTGAAATGTCATTTTATAAAAATTACTCTGTAAACTATAAAAAAAAACAAAAAAAAAAAAAAAACAAGCATTTTAATTTGCTGAGCCCCTTATTGTTTGCTCCCCCTACACACACACACACACACACATAAGGAGAAGATAAACATAAAAAAAATAATTATAAACAAACTGATTGTTGTTTATATCCAGGATACAATAACCATAACTTTTTGGCACGCTTAATTGATAAATATCTTTTTTTTGTAATTAAAATTAAATCTTGAGAAACACCATCAAAATGTATAGAACATTCATTCATTTTCTTTGAAGAAGCTAAAAAAAACTATATATATAAACATTTATACAAAAAAATATATTTATATATATATATATAAACTTATATATAAATATATAATATATATATATATATATATATATATATATATATATATATATATATATATATATATATATATATATATATATATATAATATATATATATAAATATATATATATATATATATATATATATATATATATATATATACATATCTATTATATAATAATTATTTGTATATATCGTCGCCTTAGAGGGCAGAGGTTCTATCTCCATGTTGTGCTCAAATTCAACTATGACTTTGGGGACATCTATTATAAGTGCTAGAATCAGATTAGGCAGCGGGTCTATCTCCACATAGTAGGAAAAGAATTGATCAAAAAACATTAACACTAACAAAAAATGAAATTGCTGATTTATGCTTAATGCTCAAACTTTGTTTTTGTTCTCCTGCAAAACAACCCAAAATGGAGATAGAACCTCTGCCCTCTAAGGCGACGATATATATATATATATAAATAATTATTATATAATATATATGTATATATATTTATATATATATGCATATATATAAATATACATATACATATATATTTATATATATGTATATATATATTTATATACATACAATCTTTTAAACATAAAAAATACTCAAAAGAGACTATGATTTCAAAATATATTTGGCAACTAAAAGAAAAAAATATAAATTTTATATTAAACTGGTCTATTCTAAAAACTGCGCCCCCTTATAACAACATTTCTAAAAAATGTATACTATGTTTACAAGAAAAATTTGAAATTATTACTCATTTGGATCAAGAAAATTTATTAAATAAAAAATCTAAATTAATTTCTAAATGCAGACATGAAAATAAGTACCTTTTAAAAAACTATAAAAACAAATGACCAAACTAATTCTAAGAATTCTTTTTATAATGAATTTCCTTTTTTTATTTTAATGTAGTTCATGCAACATCTTAGTTGCAAAACAACTACAGTTATTATTTTATTAATTACAACTTCCTGTGAAATATTTTTCCTACAATTTGAATTTTTTTGATGCTTAGACTTTCTTCCTGATGAGCCATTCGATGGCGAAACAACTTGTTGAAGAGAGAAAAATTAGATAAGTGTTTTTACTAATTTATTATTGCTCTGTTCTTTAAGAACATTGAGCACTCTATTTGTAGAATACACTAACATAATTTATATTTATATATATATATATATATATATACTTATTTATTTGTATATATATACATATATATATATATATATATATATATACATATATATATATATATATATATATATATATATATATATATATATATATATATATATATATATATAAAATAAATTTTAGTAAGAATTTATCTAAATAAATTTATATTTATTATAACAAAACTCACCATATAACTCGATGTTATCGTTTAATAAATAAAGCTTGTTATAATACAGAATGGTTTCAGACGGCAAAATTAAAGTAAAACGTGGTTCTGCAAAATATTTTAATAGAAATCGAATGAAATCGAAACCTCACGATAGACACGATAATGGATTACTTTGGGGGCCTATCCTGGTCGCATGGGACACTTTTAGAATGGGAACTTTTTATGTTAGACTCTAGGAAACTTAAAACGCAAGTTAGTAAATTTAAAACTTAGTTACTCGATGTGTATAACGAAAGTGTTGGAATTTGAAGCCACAGACGCCGGCCTATAATATGTACATATCAGAATACGAAAAAATCCAAACCTGAAAAAAGATAATAGTAATCAGAAGCATAATATTAAATCCCAAACAAACTTCCACATACTGAGTTTTTATAAGAAGGTTCACTAAAAAAGTTGGCTACAGAATAAAAATGCCGACCTGTAGCTGAATTTCCTTACTTTTCTTCTTATATGCTTTAGAAGTTGAGCACCAAATTATTTCTTTCTATTTCAAAAATTTAAGTATCATTACATAAGTTGTAATACATTCATAATACATAAGTTGTCATATTATAATGTAATGTATGTCAACATAAGTTATCATACATTGTATAATTTGTCATACATTTTTTTTTATTTCATACAATTTAAATTTCATATGGTTGATATGATCAAACAGTAGACTAACTTTTCAGAACTTGAATTATGCTTTATTTTTTAATCTATTTATTTCTACTAATACAAAACTGATTCATACATACAAACATAATACATAAAATCCCCACAGGCCTTGTAAAAAAGAAAAATGAATGTAAAAGAAGAAATATGGCTTCTTAAACTGGCTTTAAAACATTGAAAAAACACATTCATCGTATAGTCAAAATTCTGATCAATAACCTAATATTTACTAAAGTAAATACTTTTATACAAAAAAGTTGCAGAAAAAAAAAATTATTTTCTTTGAATAAATACTTTGTATTTTTTTAAACTAAAAAAAAAAATTAGTTTATTTAACCATAAAATTGCACGGTGTCACACGTATAGTTAAAAACTAGTCATTGGAGTGACACGTTAATAGAATAAACAAATAAAGCAAAAAAAAAAAAAAAAACACTATTAATACAGATAGTGCGAAAAAAAAATGAAAATAAGAAGAATAATAACTATTACTAAAGCCAGACTAATAACACAAAAAAAGGAAAAAATGAATGATGTGACATGAGAGATAATGAATGAATGAGATAACACAAAGTTAAACAATCTGAAAAATGATAGAGAGTAAAAAACAAAAAATCAAAAGCATATACTTAAATATTAAGAGGCAGTAAATATGAAATCAGTTAAACAATAGCAACAAAAGCAAAATGCAACAATAATAAAAATAAAATAATTAGCAGTAACACCACGAAAATAAATGCACGACAATATAAAAAATACATTATATATGAACAGGTAAATATATACGATGCACAAAATTATACGACAGGATAAACAAAACATAGAAATATATGACAATATAAAAAATAAAAATAAAACGACAATATAAAGAATACAAACAACATAAATTAATAAAACTTAAATATTGTTCTTTTTGTTTTCTTTTAATAATTTATTTAAGTTTTTCATTTTGGCATATATCACAAACATTTTTTCTTTTAACTTTGTTTTTAGTTGTTCAGTATATATAATGTTTTTCTTTATTTTTTATAAATCATTATGTTCATTGTTTTTACTTAATTAGTTTTTTTTAATACTTGACTTCTAAACAATTTTTATTTGTTTTTCTTTTCCTTGTTTATCTATTTTTCAACTTTTTGGGATTAAAAAAGTACTTCCTCCATTTGCGATGTGATAGCAAAGTGACAATCGCAAAGTGATTGTAAAGAAAATCTTTTGAACTGAATAAAGTTTTTTGATTTAATATACACTTAATGTAGTAAACAGTTTCCTGTTTTTCTTTTTGCTGTTGTTGCACTTTTCTCCATCAATTAGTACTGCAGAATTTCATTAAAAAGCTCTCAAGAATAAAAGTTAAATACAAACATCAGTTTATATAAATTGGATGAATTAAAATAACAACTCAAACAATTATCAAGCTCGTAAAGAAAAAAATAAATTAACAAAACAGTTGAAAAGAATAGCTGTTAACTACTCAGCACAAAAAATATGTATCTTCTAATTAAAAAAGTCAGATATGTATTAAAAATTGAAGAATTACGGCTTGAGTCAGACATTGTTTATAACCTTTCATAATTTAATTTAAAATTATTACTGCTTACATAGGGGCAAGACATACACACTCTCTGTATATTAATTATGTGATAAAAACATTGCCTAATTTATTTGTAAGATGATCCGCATGAGCTATTTTCTTGCGTTGTTTTGACCAAAAACTCTTTATTAAATTTAACAATTACAATAAAATAATACTTTATATAATTTTATTGTAGTTGTTTTAGTACTACTATACTATTTAAATATATTTTGATATAATAATATTACTATATCAAAATATATTTAAAAATAGTTACAATATGACTTTTTTTTGGAAATTAACTATATATTGAATAAACATATTTATGTAAATTCTATATATATTGTGCATATATGTTGACATTTTATATACTGTTTAATAATAATAATAACAATTAAAAGAATAACAATGATAATGTAATGAAATGTAATATATATATATATATACATATATATATATATATATATATATATATATATATACATATATATATATATATATATATATATATATATATATATATATATATATATATATATATATATATATATATATATATGTATATATAATAAGAGCTCTATTATTTAATATATAATCCGCTAATTTATAACTATAAAACTTTGTTATAAAACAATTACTTTATTCTCCAGTGTATTTATACTACACACTATATAGATCTTGAATAGATCATTTTATGTCGAGGCTTGTAAACGCTTGTTTTGAACCACGGATATATCCAAGCTGAGGTTTTGTTTCGGTAAAACTACAGCGTATCGCGATGTTTATCGATTTTTTCATGCTATATTTAAAATGCTTTGAAAACTAAGTGTTTTGCTATTCTTCAGCCGCTGGCGCCAAGCCAACAAAAAATAGCATAGCAATCCTTCAGCGTTTTTGCCATGGCGACAAGCCGCATTAGGTTTTACACTGGACCATCATTGACGTGCCAGCGGCGGCTTTTGGCATCACTGTCCGATGAAAGCATGTTTGCTGGGTTGCTGTTATCTTTTCTTCGAAATCTTATATAGCGCAAAGTTTAATTAAATCATATAGTTTTTAAAATTTGAACTTAAAAGTCTAAGGTGGTAGACTGCTAAAAAAGTTAGAAAAAAACGATTTTTCAAAAGTGGCATTGTTTTAAACAGTAACTGATATAGAGTCTAAAAATATATAGATGTTCGTATGAGAAAAAAAATTTGGAACTAATAAAAGTGATTTATATTAGTAGGGTAATTTTGTTTCCCCTAGCAACGCTCATAACAACCGCTAGTTAAGGTTAGTAATAAAAAAAAATTAAAGAACAAAGAAAAAATCTTAAAGCAACTAGGAAAGGGTTTGATAAAAAAAACAAAAATTAAGAAGAGCAGTATATAAAAAAGGGGGATTTTAATAAGTTTGTATATTCAATATTTTTAATTTTATATGCTTTTTTCTCTGTTTTATTCTTCTAATTTTCTGGCAAAGATTGCAGGAGCTGTAATTGTCCAATTGACTTTAAATTTTGTACAGAGATTCATTATAATAAGCTTTATGTCCTGAGATAAAAAAATTTCGAATATAAACTTTTAAAACAACAAACTTTTTGTTCTTAATATCAGAAATTCGATTATTAATTGGGCGCTTTGAAAAATCTAACGATGCTTTAAAATAAAGAAATTTTCAACAAAAATTTTTATCTCAGGACATTTATCTACATAGAAAAAATAAAAATACAAAAAATTAGAACTTAATAAATTATACTTTTTGAGATATCTTTGCCAAGATTTTAGCCTGTTTTTGGCCTAAAATCACCTGTTTTTGCCCAAAAAAAAAGTTTTGGAAAAAAAAAAAAATTAAAAATTATGAATTTTCTAATGTATTTATCATGTTCGAAGTAAAAAAATTTATTGAAATATTGTAAAATACAAAAATAATTTTTTTAGCAGTCTACCACCTTAATAGGTGTGAAATAAAATACACCAAAGTGTATTGGGATAATTTCATTTCTCTCAATATTTAACATTTTATTTGACTTATTTTTGTTATTTACTTCCACGTACATTCAAATACCATAATGCATTGCATTTAAGGAGAAAAGTCTTGATTCAGGGTCGTTTAGGCAAATAACGATAAAGCAAAAATGTTACTGGTGTCTGCTAGCAAACTTTAACAATCATAAAAAAATTTTAACAAAAACGAGTTTTTTATATATTTTAGTATACTTAAAGTAATAAAATTAATACTATAAAATTGTTGATAAAATATTTATTTAAATTATTATTAAAAAGTTATTAAAATTTTAAAACGTTTTTAAGTTTTTTTTAATTTAATTAAATTTTATAAAATTTTATTTAATTAAATTTAATTTATTCAAATTTAAAGTTATTTAAATTTTAAAACGCAACGTTTTAAAAACAAAGATAAAAACCAGGCTGTATTATTGAAAAAAAAAAGAACGAAGAAAAATTTGCTTTGAGAGTCAATTTCTCATGAAACGGTTTTGTCTCAACTAATGTTGCATGAATATAAAGTTTGCGCTGTCTATAAAACTTTTACAAATATTTTAAGTTTATTCAGTAGAGATGTAGAAAATAGATTTGGTTTTGCACTTATCTACTTTTTATAATGTTTTTGGATATCTTCAAGTAATGAGTTGCAATAATTTTTCCATTCCGTTACCGTAACATCAATGTAACTATATCTGTGAATTGTTATTATTTTTGTAACAAATTCTATTTTTGCAATAAATTATAATTATAATTACAACTACAGCATATATATTACCCAATTTTATTGATATAGAAAAATTATTTTATATGACAATGTCTGCTTTGTTACTGACATTTGCTAATTATTTATTATTTAAAGGCAAAATAGTCTAAGTTACATTTCAGAATAATGGGAAAACCTAAGCATACATAAAAAGTCAGTACATTGTCTTTATAAAAAAGATAAAACTTCTTTTAAAAAATAAAATAACTCTAAAGAAATTCTTTTCGATTTTAAATTGTACAAA